CTGCTTCCTATAACACTGGGGCAGTCTGATCTGGTTTGCAGAAACCCCCTCTGAAAAGTCAGGCATTTGTTCACGTACAACCAAAATAGTCCCTTTTTTCAACAAAATAACTCCACTAAAAAAACTGCCCCAGCACTGTTTCAATGGGGTGGTCGAATCTGGACCCAATTAAAAGGGGGACCCCCTAAATTTCCTTCACACCCAGCTTGAGGAAGACCCCAGATTAGAGGAATATTTTCCTTATTGCCGACTTTACTTTTTGCGGAATTCCATGGGATAATAATTGAGCCCATGTGTGCTCTGTATTCCGAGGTGTTCCCGTTTTGGTGGGGTGTGGATAAAAATTGCACGTTGTTACAGCCATCATGGTGGCCCCAGTTTTGACAAATCTGTTTTCTGTCCCCCTTCCTCTTCTTCTTCATCTGGATTTTCACCACAATCTTTGGAACGTTGTTTGGAATTAATAGAAGAAGGGGATTTTTTTTTAAGTCTTGGTCAGATTTCCATGTGGGAAGAGACGAGGCCTAATTGAGATCAAATAAACAAAGTCACCTGTGAGTGATTTCAGCTCATAATGAGACACATGTTCGCTGATTCAAATGTGCACACACACGGCCGTACGCGCATGTGCACACTCACCGTCTCAATTGGATAAGCACTAAAGCAGGTGTGTGTATCACTCCCTCAGTTAAATCCTGTCCATGCTATATACCTCCGCACAAACATACTGGCATTAGTTTTTTGTCCAAATACACACACACACACACACCATGGATTAGCCTTGGCTTCAAACTCCATGTCTCAACAGTGAGAGCTTGTATTCTGCTCCCCTATGCAGTGACCCATCATCATCCCGTTCCCTCTGGCTTTGTGAGTGCTCTGCTCTAAGGGAATGAATGGCCACTTGTTAAATAAACCCAGGACGGTGCTTAGGTATCATAGTTGTCTGCACGGTATTATTCTAAGTGGTAATAATAAGAATAGTGTCAGGACACTGTCTGACTCTCCTTTGCTCTGCTGACGGTTCTCTACCTGTGAGTGGCCTGTGGAGAATTGGGGGGAGTCTGACTTTGATATATGTCTTCCTAATTGTAATAGACCTGAATCCTCTAAAAACAACATGTGGATAATTCTTATGCATACACACACACACACACACACACACACACACACACATACACATACACATACACATACACACATGTGGATACTCACATCCAGAGGTTTGTGTGCATGCACCCACAACACACACACTGACACTCCACACACAGGTAATTGTGCCCACCTGGGAAAACATCATTTAGTCAGGCGCCCCTTCCTTCTACTAACACTGCTCTTACAGCATGGATACGTGTGTGTGGGTGTGTGTGTGTAAGAGCGACCTCTATTACCCTTTGCTTACTTTTGATCCCAAATTGCATTTGACTATCAACACTCCCTAAGCCCTAAACCATCCAATTACAATCCAGTATTTTATAAGCTTAGCAGTTCAAGGAAATGACTTCTCCATGCAGGCCTAACAACCAGCCATGTTGTAGCAGAGTCCATCATCTATCCTCAGTCTTCCATATATCAAATAAATACTTAACCCTATCAAGCAGGCTGAGAAGCAAAGATCCAAATAAAATAGCCTTTTGTTGTTTAAGTTATTTTTCTGTCTCACCTTGTAAAATGAGTGGCCTATAGTTGCAGGTTAGTCCACATATATCAGTGATTTTAATTATTGTAACGTAATCACCAAAGCATGGGCTGACAACCTCAATGTTTAGGTCAAATTCCTTCACAGTCTGCTGACTGTGAAGCACTTTAGGCTGCATAAATCTGTGTGTGCAAGCAAGTACTTGAAGGCTTGAGACGCAAACACCTCTTTGAGCTTATGTTTGGGTTTCACAGCAAAATGTATTGTTTTTCACTTGCACGCTGTGTACTGGCTCAGGAGGAGGAGACGGCTTGAAAGCACCCAGGCAAGGATGGATATCCATCTGTTCTACCTGTCAGCTATGTGTGTGCATGTCTGTGAGGGTGAGTGAATGCTTTGATCTGACTACGATGAGTGACAGGCTGTGGCATCACTATTACACTTTTATACATCAAAGTTATGTTATGTTTTCAAAAAACATTTCAAAGCTTTCAAGTGAATTTCTACTTAAATCTGCTAAATAAAATATAAATCTGTATCTTTTTAATTACTAGTGCAATATATGGCAAGATTAGATCATTAAAGGAGCAGTTCAACATTTTGAGAAATATGCATTTGCTTTCTTGTAAAGGGTTAGATGAGAAGATTGATACCACTCTAACATCTGTCTGCTCAAAGTTAAGCCACGGCCAAGTTATCTTAGCTTAGCATAAAGAGTGGAAACGGGGAAATAGCTTGCCTGGCTCTGTCCAAAGGTAATAAAATCCACCTGCCAGAGCCTCTTATACGCTCTAATTTGCATCTTTTGTTTTCTTAAATGCCTACAAAAACTAAAGTGTAAAAATGCCAAATTGTGGTTTTACATGAGTTTTTCATGGCCAAGTGTAGTGACTTCCTGGAGACTTGCTGTCACTGCAAGATTGCCAGGCAACCAGCAGAGACTCCAGGAACAATTATTTCCCAAAATGTCAATTTATTCTGCATAAGTGACTCTGACATGTCATGGCATTTCAGTGCTTCTTAGACAGGATTATTATTATTTGAACAAATTAATTTGTTAATTTTTTGTTAGCCACCTCAGTGATGGACCACAAAGTAGCAAAAGGTCAAATTGACAGACAGCAGAACAGGTATGATGTCAGCAGTAAACAGAGAAAACACACCTCCTACATATTAAGTCAAATAAATAAATAGATAGTTTGCTGCATAGATGGCTCCAGCAATGACGTAAAGGCCAGAAGTCTCATGGCAGACACTGACTATCAACTGACACATTTTAATAATCACAAACTGGTGCCAACAATCACACACACACACACACACACATGCACACGCACACATGAGTGACAGCATGCCACTAAACATGGGTGATCTGGGCAGGCCCCAGCTATCTTTGGCATCTCCTCTGCTCTGGTGGCTGCTGTGCCAGGCTGCCATGCCACCTGATACAAATTGACACCGCCACCAGCTGCTCCCTAACCTCAGTCATGTTAGTGCATCTGGCAATCTTTTAAATGCGTGGTGAGCATGATGAGCGTGACACACTGATTTCTAGCACACGCTGTATCTTATGTTCATAAAGCACAAGAGGCAAAGCAGTCCGAGCAGTCAGCACTCTTATACCAAAACATTTATGCGATTTCATTGTTTCTACTCAGACACTTCCTTGCTCCCCTACATCCCTGACCCCTACCTCAGCTCCAGTTTCTTCACTTGCTGTGTGCCCCTTATAGTTGCTGCACCCTGTCAACATGTTACCATGTCCCTAAATGCTCAATGATCCATGCAATGTTCCACTCTTCTCCCTCCCTTCTATTTATTGGCCCTTATTGCTTTTCTTGACTGTCACACCTTTTTATTATAGGGGACCCTCTGCTGCCATCTAGGGGTTTAAATAGATACAGTTAGCAGGTTCCTGAAAAGCACCTTTTTTCCTTTTGGAAAAAGTAAGTGATGGACATCTGTGTTTATATAAAGCAATGTATCCATTTAAGTGACTGAGACTGAGGAGCAGCTGGTAATGATGTCAGTTTGTATCAAATAACATCCATCCATCCATTTCACTTCATCCCTCAAACCAGTCCCCCGCCCAACTCCTAAAAATAATGGGTGCCACCAGTACTGTAAGACTGCCATCTTCTGGTCAAAATATCTGGTCAGCTTTCAGATCAAATATAACAAAGGCTTTACTGTTGTTAGAAATAATAATGATATTCTTTTTGCCTTACACAGAATACAGATGTTTGGGGCTTGGTTACCTTCTTTCTACAGAGCAAAGTGTTAACCTGACATTTGTCATGAGAGCAGCAGCATGTGTTTTTGATTTATTTGGCAGGGACTCTCTAACCGCACACAGGTTGATAAAGAGAAAGGCCATGAAAAAAATTCCAAGTGGTGCTGGTATAAATCATTGAATTTACAACTACAAAATATGCAAACTGGAATTTTAAATTGTGCATTTTTTTTATGTTTGCATAAACACTATAAACCTCACCTCGATACAAAAGCAAGGCCATCCTTAAGAATATATAGTAATGTAAGGGTGAGAGTACCTTCTTAATCAATGACTACATTTATTTTAAATCGATGATATGAACACTGCGATGGACTGGCGACCTGTCCAGGGTGTACCCCGCCTTTCGCCCGATGCCAGGCTCCAGCCCCCCGCGACCCTGCACGCAGGATAAGCGGTTGATGATGAATAGATGGATGGATGATGATATGAACACAAAACCAGACAGAAGGCAAAGGGTTCCTTTGTGTTCTTTTAGCTTTCAACATTCTGGTATTCATGATGTTTAAGAAGACACACTTTCTGGCATGAATGTCACTATCTAACTAACACCAATAAGCAGACAAGGTGGCACTTAATGATGAGGCAGAACAGGTCAACAACCAGAAATAGACAGCTGCCACAACTAAAATATAATAGTACATTTTTATATGGTTAATTTTTTAGCTATAAAGAAGCACATTGGACCTCTTTCTCATTTCGATTTAGCACACATTTAGTTTTCTATTGATGTTTTACAGTCCTCGACTGACAGCAGAACGCAGTCAAGTGCTGCTACCACTTATTTATTTAAAATAAAATAATATATTGATTAACAGTATAAAGAATTAACAAAAATGCTAAAGAAATCTTCTAAATCTCAGATATAGGTGAGTGGAAGCCAACATGGGGTCTTTAAAACAGCGACACCACCAGTATAAAAGGACACAGGGACAAGCTGACCCCAAACAACCCCACCAAAACACCACCCTCCTCAGTGAAATACCATGTGGGATTTTCACATGGCCTTGTAGACCAGCCTTGTCTCGATTATCTTTGTGCCACTTTTTACTTTTTACTTCAAAGAGCTTGCCAGTCATGTGAAACACATACTGTTGTTTTGCTGATGTCAGCTAAATATTTTTCTTATAAATAGAAGGTAACCAAGCCCCATACATATATTCCTTTGCAGAGGCATCCACAGACAGCATAATGAGGGCAGGCTTATCTTTGCTGCTCTGCCTGTTGGTTTCATGGGCTCTTGAGGTGCAAGCAAGTGAAGGAGTGGAGACCAAACCCCAAGGTTTCCTTCCTAACAAAAAGCAGCCTCTGGACCATGATACCACATCTGATCCGTCCAATTACCAGTCCAGCACCAACCATGACATTTGGACAGAGTTGAGGATACTGAGAGACATGGTGGTGGAGCAGAAGGTGGAGTTGAAGAACATAGAAGGCCGGCTGAGGGAGACAGAGGTGCAGGCAGATGAGCAGAAGATGGAACTCCTCCTCACAAAAACCAGCTTGGAGGTGCTGAAGAGAGACCACGCTGCCATGGAGGAGAGACTGAGAGTCAGTGAAAAACAAGTGGAAGAGCTGAAGAAAGTAAACACAGAGCAGTCAGAAGAGCTGTCAGATCTCACAGCGAGGCTCGGTGCCAGTGAAAAACAAGTGGAAGACCTGAAGAAAGTAAACGTGGAGCTGAGGCTTCATCTTGAAAACCAGGCAGCTGAACTTTTGTCCATAGAAGCCAGAGTGACAGTCAGTGACAGTGAGATGCAGCTCCTAACACGCAAGATGGATGACTTTCAGGTCCAGAACACAGCCCAAGAAGTTGAGCTTACATCTCTAATGGACAGGATGAACACCACTGAGTGCAGAGTGGACAGTCTAATCAAACAGAGGACAAAGGTGGCATTTTATGCTGCTTTGACAAACTCGGGAGAGGTAGGGCCTTATAATACTCCAGTGGTCTTAAAGTTCAGCAAAGTCTTTACCAATATTGGTAACGCCTATAAACCAACCACTGGCTTCTTCACTGCTCCTGTGAAAGGAGTGTACTATTTCAGATTTACAATATGTGGATATCCGTACAAGGTTGGCATCGGAGTGCAACTATTTTATAATGGGAAATCCATAATGTTTAATGTGCTAGGAAGGTTTGAGTATAATGAAAATTTTGAGTATCTGTCAAATGCTGTTATTCTGAAGCTAAATGTCGGTGATGAGTTACATTTGATCCTCCCAGAACGGGAGGCAATCTTTGATAATGAAAACAATCACAGCACATTTACTGGCTTCTTGCTTTTTAACATGTGACATCAATCCAATACATTTTGGAACAACCCATTCCTGAAAAAGTCATGTGAAAATGAATCATTTCTGTGTACTGTGCTTTGTGAAGCCTACTCAGTCAATGTAAAATATTAACCAATGCAATTGTGCCGCAAATAAATATTCATCATCTCTTGGATATTGGATAAGCTTGCCACTGTGGTTTTATCCACCAAGTGACAGTGTTTTTTCCACAACATGTGTTACTGGACTATAAAGTTTTGTAGTATGAAATGACATGTTACCAAGTGCAGATATTTGGTGTCACTGTTGATGGGGACAATTGAAACATCTCCCAGCCATTGATTTTTAGAAATAAAGTGGCTGCGGGTCTGAAAAAGGTAGACAGTGAACCAAACCACTGTGAGGCATATGACTAACTAAAAAAAGGCATCATAGTTTAGTAGTAGTACATAGTTTGTGTTCTAAAGACATTGACTAGATGCTGACAAACAGCAGTCCATCCATCCATCCATCCATCCCACTACAGATGGAAATTAGCTTGTAGCTACAAACATGTTTACATGCATGTATTCCATGTTTGTTCATTAACATGTACTGTCCCAATCAAATAAATCATCAACCACTTATCCTGCATACAGGGTCACGAGGGGCTGGAGACTATCCCAGCTTACATTGGGTGAAAGGCGGGGTACACTCTGGACAGGTCGCCAGTCCATCAGAGGGCTACAACCACTCACACAAGGACAATTTAGAGCCACCAATCAACCTAGTCCGCATGTCTTTGGATGGTGGGAGGAAGCCGAGCACCCAGAGAAAACCCACGCTGGCACAGGGAGAACATGCAAACACAGAAACGCCTGGGACGACCAAGGGCCGAACCCATGACCTTTTTGCTGTGAGGCGACAGTGCTAACCACCGCACCACCGCGCCGCAGACAAACAGCAGTTGTTATATTCATTTTTTTTAACAAAATTATTGCTAGGTACAATTCAGTAGTAACTGGATGTTGGTAGAGATCGTCCCCACTAAATTCTACACCGTTGGATGTTACTGTTAAACTCCTTTTGTTGTCACAGATGTCCCCCAAAACACCTTTTATTTTGTCCAGAAGATGGCAGTACCAGATAGCCTACTGCATGCACAGATAGATGCATTAGGGTGGGGCCTGTGGAGCTTTTTGAGATTGTAATGACATGAGATGTAGGCATAAATAGTGATGTAACTAGAGAAGGAAGGTGGACTTGGTTGAAGATACTGGAAGACGTTTCGTCCCTCATCCAAAGGACTTCTTCACTTCTGACTGACTGGTAGGGAAACTCAGCTATTTAACCTCAGTGGGGTCGTTTGCCAGGATCGTTGATACTGCTGGTTCGTTAGTGTTCCTGGTTGCTGTAACGACTGTCGTTAGGACTGCCCGTGGCCTAACGACCCCACTGAGGTTAAATAGCTGAGTTTCCCTACCAGTCAGTCAGAATTGAAGAAGTCCTTTGGATGAGGGACGAAACGTCTTCCAGTATCTTCAACCAAGTCCAGTTGCCCTTGCCTTCATTGGATAACTATGACCTGGATGACTGAGAATCTTCACAGACATCTAGAGAAGGAAGGATTTGTAGGTGTTGTTTTCTGCAGAAGGCTTGATGAGATCTTCACAGTCACAATCAGTGACAAAAACACATCATAAATCAGCTGTATATGTCTCTCCGTTGATTAGTATAGGCTATCTGTCCAGTATAGAGATGTTGATGCAGTACTGTTGACTACGATGACAGGCTGTGGCATCACTTTTACTGTTTACGTTATTATCCTTCACACTAGCATGCTGCAATGGCCATATCACCCCTGACAAACAGACATGCCAATATAAAGTAAGTGATCTGAAGGATGAGGGCAGATGGGAAACATGATGGGATCAGCTGGAACACTGTGACTCCTTTCCTTCCCTCAGGCTGTGGATCTTTTTTCACATCACAGTTTGGGCAGCAATCCAACAAAACAATTAGCAAGTATGGGAATCCCGGCACTGCTCTCATGCAGACCCCTCCCTCCCTCCTCTGTGTCTCTTCCTCTCTCGCTCTCTGCAGCTGGCCCCAGGAGAGAGGCGGCCAAGTTTATTTTCTCCACGGTGGTCCCTTTGAGGTGGCGGCGAGGCCCCTGCCATGCCTCCGCTGATGTATTAGGTGCGGGTTCTTTAAGAGATGTCAGTGGGACTCTTTTATTACTACCACAGCACTCAGTCTTATTGTTCCTCATAAAGGATAGCTCGTACTGTACGTAGGGACAAAATTAAGTGAACGAGTAGGCCTATGTGTGATTAAAGTCAGCCACATGCCTCCTGCTAGTCACTGAGAATACCATACATATCTCCATGGCAACTAAGAAAAATCTATCTGTCAGGGGAAGACCATGAGATCAAAGCTGGTATTGCAAAATCACTATTTTACAGTGAGTGAAGAATTAAATTTCATGCTCAGTTTGACTATAAATTAAATATTAAACATTAATGATTAATTGATTGATTGATTAATATGGAAATATTCATTTAGTTAAACTTCTTTGTGCTTTCCATTGGTGGCAGACGTAGCCTAGGCCTATTCAGATTACTTAGTAAACGTAACAATATACCCTATCAATCTAAACATACTCCAAACCAACTAAAAGTCTAGAATTCAAAGTTTTGTGAAGTAGGCCTAAATGTACACAAGTCGCCTATTATTGCCTAGATGTATTCAAAGTATCAAAAGCAGAAGCAGCCTATTTATTAGGAAGAAGAAGATCAGCATTTCAATGTTTTAACACTGAGGACATGACCTCTGTATTTTTACTGTAAGGATCTAAAAGGAGTTTGCAGTGTACGATTAAAATAACACACTGGGGTTATTTTAGGCTGAAGGAATAGAGATGGAAGATATTAAAAATTGGATCACTTTTTGGTAAAAATATCAACAAAAAATATTCTCAGCATTTCTTATATACTTGGCTTATAATATTCACTAAGTATTATTGTAGTTTGTCATGGTTAGGTTAATTTATTCAGTTGGATAGATTGATCATACAATGTATCATATCTTATTAACTCATTATGTTTTGTATGTAAAATGTAACCAGAAGGCCTTGTATCTGTAAAGTACTGGCTCCTATAAGAGCTGGCAAAATATTGCAGCCTTCCTATAGGCAGGCTGCAATATTTAGTTAAAGTTATGTCCCTGTTAGTAATAATTAAAGTATGTATGAGTATGGTCTCTTAATGTGAGTGGAGTTATACTGTTTGCAGGCTATTAACCAGTGAATGCATTGACCATGTGGGGTGAAAGAGAGACAGACGAAAAGGAGTAGAAAGCTAAGGGATTCTGTGTAAAAAGAAAAAGAAAGACCACGTGTCAGACTGCATAAATAACTGTCGGCTTGATGTAAACATAGCGGTCATAACCCTGGCGAATTAAAACAACTTGTGTGGATGGGATTAAAGCTCAGAGGGAGAGGTTTTCTACTTTCAAAAATGTCTCATATACTCTGACCTGCGGCAACTCACTTCTGATTGGTGGGATTGTCTATCCAATAGTGCACACCTGTGAGCATGTGCTGGTTATTTAGCATAAATGCAGTTAGGCCTATGTTAACTTGAAATCGCATTTGACGCTCAAATTCGGAAATAAACGCATAAAGTTGTGCTGTTGTGATTAAATAAAGTCAACGCTTTAGGTAATCTGGGCTATGGCCTATATCAATTAGGCTATATTAAAATATTTAAAAGCAAAATTATTCTACCAGGCCTATAAGCAAATTCTAAAACTAGCGTTGCTGCTCTGTTTCTTTTCGTGCATTTATGAACTTGGCTGGAAGATAAAATTTGACTTGTTTAAACTACAACAGCATTAACTGCTTTTAGGGTCCCATAAGCTTTGAAGGCAAATGTTTGTTTATGTAATGACAACCACGTCCAGTGTTATCTTTTAGAAACAACAGAGAGAGACTTATCTGCACTGACGCTTCGTTGGTGCTCAGGTTCTGCTATTCTGAAGGAGTGGAGTGATAAGAGGGGGTTACTAGGTCAAAGCATTGGCCCACACGAAAATAAAACGAAATTAAACGAAATAGAAAATAATATTCAGTACACAAGGTGGAAAAGTGATACAAATATATTTTATATACATGTAATCTGTACAACCACATGGACCTTTCATCCATCCATCATAATGCAGCAGCTAAAACAGGCCTGCATGAGTAAAAATGCATCTGCAGAGTATTTAAAAAAAAAAAAAAAAGAAGCCATTTTAAGCACGCAGTTTATCTTTGAACCAGCAAAGACAACAACAGGTGACAGAATGCATTTAAATAAAATTCAACTTGTCTTTACGGGAACGAAGGAGAGAGGATCCTCTCTGTTATTCCCACTCAGAGTCTGCGGAGATGAGACGTGCATTTCAGTCATAATCTTTTTTGTTGTTGTTGTTGTTCTTGGAAAACCATTCCTCCTTTAAAAACGTATAGAGGTGTCCGCTTGGTTTCGTCAGGACGCCGTTGTTCCACATAACCTTGTTGTGTTCAGCATCTCCTTCAAATCGTTCTCCGGCTTACCTGCAACCATGAAAGGCCACGTCTGCGGAGGAAAATACACCCAATTAGGACGAACAGCTTCTTAGATTGTTAATTTATGAAGTAATTAAATCGAGGTCAAACAAAACATTCAGAGCAATTGTGTGTCAATTAATCACCTGCAGTCATCAAGTAATTAATTACAAACAGGAATGACCAGATGTTCATAAAAAAAAAGTTTTACCTTTGCAGCTCCAATAATCTGACAATCTAATAATCTTATTATATGATTTACAAATGTGTCTAATCTGTTCAAAAAAGAGTTTATGGTGTTTGCCGAATTTAATACTATTTTCTAATCATAATATTTTCAGGTAAAGGCCCAGCGTTGTTCTGCATCAGCAGCAGTATTTCGAAATTCTGAGACAAATGATGGGCCTACATAATTTATGGCCTGTGAATAGATTGTAGCATAATGATTCATAAAGGGTGATACTTGCTCGGAGTCAACCTTTTGCCTGAAAACAGTCAACATAAATAGGAATTGTCGCGTTTTTCTCCTCTCATGCACCTGCTTCACAATAATTCTCTCATTTGTCACCTTGGTGCTCTTACCAACCATGTGGCCAAGCAGGAGTCTGCAACCCAGGTTAATAAATGTATAGCCTATATTCCAGTAGATAGCATTTTCAAAAAAGGAAAAATTCTATTAGGCACACAAACCATCATGATTTTAACAAAATTCAATTCGCCAACATTTTCAGATTGTGGCCCTACCTTTAAAACTCCACTTTAATTTTCCCTCACTTATATTTTTTCTATCACATAAATAAACTTCTGGATTTCACCTCCACCCTATCCCCAGTCTCACCAGGTTAACGGGGTGGATAAATCCGTTTTCATATTTGTCGTTGGCCAGTATCTGCCGGAGATGCGCGATGTAGCTGGACGCCAGGCGCAGAGTGTCCAGTTTGGAGAGCTTGGTGTCCGGTGGTACCCAGGGTAAGGTCGTCTTCAGCCGGGAGAAGGCTTTAGACAGGACGCGCATCCTGGCTCTCTCTCGGGCGTTGGCCGCGTTCCTCTGCACGTGCTTGCCCTCCTGCTGTGCCACACCCTTGGGTGCCGTTTTCCGGGACGCTGTCTTCCGTTTCTTGCCCGGCGCGTCGTTTGCGCAAGTGCCCTCGCAGTTGGAGCTCTCCTCCGTGCTCTCGTTGGAGTCTTTGCCGGAGGAGCCAAACTTCAGGATGCCGTCCAGGAGCTCGTCGTCGACATCGCTGAGAGACCCGGTGGACATGGTGAACTGTCTCCAACCTGAGCGGGCTCAAAACATGGGAGCAAGAGTCTTCAGCTGGACAGGAATGAACAGAGTGGACAAACTCGCGCCTTGGAGATGAATTCACGAACCGCTAACTGTGCGTGACCAGAGCAGAGAGGAACAGAGTTTTTATTTCCATCGAGAGGGCGTTACCTCATGCTGGGAGGAGACACTGGTGCTGATCTAACATGCTGGTTCCCAAAGGGTTTTAGGATCCCAAGGGACCCTGGATGAGTGCCAAGTAACATGCAGAAAATATCGTTTATTTTATCTGCATTTTAACTCACTAAATATTAATTCTTTTTTTAGAAAATGAAGAATTGCAATGAGATGGATTCATTCCTGAAATTTCTCTTTTACACAAGGAAACCCTTGTGCTTTTTCCAGAACTTAAAGGGGTTCTGATCTTCAGAATATTAATGACCTGTAAAAAGGTTTGGATACATACATGTTGACTCAATCTGAGATATTCACAAAGGCCTATCACGATTTTAAGCTTTTAACTTTTGTCCATCCTCATTGAAGGCTCATTACATTACTGATGGTTTTTGCAGTGATAACAGGTTCTAATGTCATGTTTTGAATTGTTGAACAAAAATGCCTGCAACCTGGAACACACATCTAAGCTGAAAAGCTGACCACATGTTTTCAAACAAGTCTAAAATAAAATCACAATAGGGTTCAAAATAAAATACAGTTTAATGTTTCATCATGTAAATTTGAATGGCATAAAGATGTTTATTCTCATAACCTTAAAAAAATAAATAGGATTTGTGTAAATAAAACATAAATAAATGATTCTGATATAATATTTTGCAGACTTTACCGTATACTAAACATTTTAAAGGATTTGGTATTAGCTCCAGGTCCCTGTGTTCCACTCACAGGGACCATGTAACTTTCAGCACATCTTGCCAGTTAGCAGGATAAAGTGCAAGGACAGGGGGGTGTCACGTCTCAGATGGCAAACTGGCGCCTTGGTCCCCTCTGATGTAATGAATACCCGGCACCCACAATCCCCTGTTTGGCCTTCCACATCATTCCACACCGATGCTCCATGCACTGGTCCACTCAGGGCCAAGTCCAAACAACCAAAGTCCCTGGAGCTCTCTGGAGCTGCTTTAAGTGGGAAACGTTGGGTTGCACTGGGGGAACACTGATGATAGTCATGTGCATCTTTCTGAATGATGTAGTGTGAATCTGAGTGACTGAAATGTTGTGTGCAAAGATCTGCTTAAAACAGCATATTTGCATGAAGCTGCAGATGATTCTTACGGGGATGCAGGATTGTGTGTGTGTGTGTGTGTGTGTGTGCGGGTACAGTCACATTGTGGGGCTCGCCTTCTTATGGGGACAAAATGCAAATGCACATAATGAAAATCATTACATTTTAAGGGGAAGACTCGGTCCAAGGTTAGGAAAAGGTTATGGTTAAGTTAAGCAAGTAGTGGAACACGACTGTGTGTGTATGTATGTGTGTGTTTGTGTGTGTGTGTGTGTGTGTTTGTGTGTGACTGAGTGAGTGCATGTGTGAACACAACACCTTTGCTTGCACACAAAGCATGTGCAAGGATACGAAGTGCATCTCTTGAGAGCTGACCTTTAACCCCTTTGCTTCCGGTGTCGCAGTGCACTAAACAGGCACCACCTCTACGTTTTAGAACTGACACACACTTAATGTGAAGCTGCATTTTGGATCCCGTTGGAAAAAAGTGACATCTTGAAAAGAATGGACATACACATCTGAAAGAAAAGAAAAGAAAAGAAAAGACATTTTGGAAAAAGTTCACAGGACTGATAAGGAAAAGAGAGAGATGGTGAAAGCAATAGATAGGTGAGGGGACAGAGGAAGAGCAAAGGGAGGACGGAGGGGGCTTAATCTCCTGGGTGGGCTGGAAACCAAAGCACTCTGTGGAAAAGTAATAATAGAGTCTGCTAGATTGATGATCACCTCTGAGATACATGGATCCAACAGAGAGTAACAGAGAGAATCGAGGAGAGTTAGATGAACTAAAATAGCTCATGAAACAGAGCACAGCCCTTTTTCTCTTTGTTGTGCGTCAATAAAACACAGACCCTAATGTAATACCATCAGAACTATCATTTTGTACTTGCATGTGAATGGTAACGTGATGAAGTGTTTACGAAACCTTCTCTACGACTCTCTCAGAGTCTTGGTCACACACAGTGACAAGAGGCAACAGGTGGAGGGGTGGGCGGTTGGGGGTAAGTGAGAAAGACAGAGAGAGAAAAAAAGAGGGTACCCTGGCAGTTATGAAGGGACATGCTACTAATTAGCCGGTTTGGGGTCAAAGGTTAGGCTGGGTGTGTGATGTCACCATGAAGGGACGGCTTCCAGATGTTGCGTGCAGGGCCACCGAGGGGGACACCTGATGCCTCGGGTCATTATCATTTTTCTCTATGTCACACAAACACTTTTGTTAAATGTTTAAAACAACTGAATATGTTGTAAAACCACGGATCTACCTTGTGAATTTCTTATGGGAATGCCCTGTACGAGGACAAATAATTTTGTATCTGTAACAAGTAGTGACTGGTTTAGGTGTCCATAGTTCAAACATAATGAACGTCTGAATGAAATTAAAATTCACTTCACTGTCAGTTTATTTATCTGTGGTGTATGTTTTGATTTATGTATTTATTAGGTCAAAATTGTAATTACCAAAAAGGTGAAATTAAATTCTTGTTTATTTTTCTACTGTGACAGCACCCCCTACATTACTGTACTCCAGGGGGTGTGAATTTGTTCAGACTGACATTGTCACCACTGAAATTTTTAATTGTTGCGATATCTGTGTGGGTGAGCACTAAACTGCATCATCACTTCAATTCCAACCATGACAGTTATTCAGCTGGGGGCCGATGTTATTAGCCATTGACCAGGCCCATCTGTGATCTGCCCTCTCTCTACATTATAGGAACATCACTCCCACTCCATGTTACAAAAAACCAAATAATGTACAAAGTTCTGATGTCACAGCACTACTTGTTGCTGTGAGTTTTGACCGACGGGTTATTTGCTGTCCCGACAACTGGAGCCATGAAAGAATGACAGTTAACACTAACTAGACCCACTCCTTTCTATGGTGTAAGATATTATAGAAAGGATATGTAATATTTATAGGGGTAATAACAATATGTAATGTTACACTGCGGCCGGTGTTGAAATGACATGAAAAAAAGGAACTACTACTATCAGTGATACTGGCAACATTGTGGAAGTTATTTAGCCTAGCTTGCTAGCTACATCATTCCAATGGCTCCTCTCAAATTTTAAATCATAAGTAAGACCAGGTGGGCTCTTTCATTGTTCAATGTTCAAAGGGTATACAGGACTATGTGCTCCAGTCAGTGGCGCAGCAGGGAAGCGCCAATCTAGAGGCCTGAAACTCTCTGTTTCCACAAATAGACCTACGTCCAAAAACAGTTGTACTGTCTTTTGAAAAACATGCAGAATAGCTACAGTTTGTTCATAGTTTATATTTCCTTACACAAAAGTATGATTTAAAATTTTAATTTGACTGTAAAATCTTTTTTAAAAAGTCTCTATATTAGACATAAAAAGACGGGATTGTGGGAGGAAAAAGCAAAAATAAAAGTGGAAACTGAAAACCAGGAAATTTGTGTCATTGGTGCTTAGAGCCTTCTTCACTGTATTGTTATGCTATCGTTATCAAGAGCACTCTCTGATTCTCAACATTTAACTTGGTTATTAAGATTAAGGTTCACTTTAACCTCTTTCAATTTTTATTTTTTTAAGTGGACTGACCACATATTCTCACAGCCAGATTTGACTTTCAAAAAATTGCATTTCTCATCTTCTTTCCTCACCCAATTCTTCCAACCATATGAGTGTTAACTGAAAAGGCAAAGAAACAAAGGGACAATGCATTATGTGAGTGAAAGGGAGCATAATCAGAAGCAAATATTGTTTTATTTATTGACAAAACATTCCACTTGTATTTTTCTGTAAAACTCATATATGAAACAATATTTTATACAAAAACAAAAAATTACAAAAAGGAAAACATCTAGTTGCTTAGTGGCTGTAAAGAACAACACGAGAAAATGTAATCTTAGAGCGAGGCTTAGGGTGAGAAAAACATCATCCATCTATGTCTAAGCACTCCAGTTCCCTGTCCCTTATCACAGCCATACTCCCCCAACACACACACACACACACACACACACACACACACACACACACACACACACACACACACACACACACACACAAACACTCCAACAAATTGTTTTTCACCTCAGTTCAAATACCTCTAAAACAAAAAAGAGGATAAAAAATCTAAGTAAAATAACTAAAGGTTGCAGAAAGTGCAAAGACAGCAGGGAGTGGAGAAATTCGGGGCAATAAGAGAGAATTATGAATATGTTTATGGGAGTGGAAATATCATATTATATTTCAAAAAGACTACAATCCTTTGATATTCAGTGACAGGAACATCCGGGGGAGGCAAGCTGTGATTCTCCAGAATAAGACTGATATTCTGTCATAGTGTAGGTTAATGACCTGGAAGTCTTGTCCTTACAATGTGAGGGAGTTGGAGTGTTGGTTTCCGGAATGCGCACACACAGGCGCACTTATCTGGGTAAGTGTGTGCATCTGTGGTAAATGTATTGAGTTTCATAATGTGTGTGACTGATGGATACGAATGTTGTGGAGCATATGTGCAGAAATCATGTGATATCTTGGAGAATGTTCGGAACTGTAAGGTGCCCGCTGCAGGTTTGTGTAAATTTTCCTCTCCTCACCTCACTGACCAATCAGACAAGAGGAACAACAAACTGTTTTAATTAGAACAAACCTGGGATGTTGTCATTGTGCTCAAAGACGTTCTATTAGCTTAAATAAAGGAAGACAGTGGACATTTTCACACCTGTTCACACACTTACAGCTAAATCTGAAAATGAAGTGCATCGACACTTCTGTTTTCAGGTCGTTTTTGTGCAGATCTCCATCCACATTGAAAAACTGCAATGAGATGCTAACAAAATTACTATCCTTCAATCACAAAGACAAATACAAGTTAATGACAGCCTCCCTATTGTTTCATCGTCTATACTGACATTCAGA